TAATAGGTCGGTGCACGGATTCGCGGATACTGATTTAGTTCATTTGATGAACGATTTACGTATGGAGAAGAATAATCTGTGTGCTCGAAGAGGTCTGGTACCTGGAACAACTCAGCAAACCTTCGTGCTACACTTAAGGGAAAGTTTCGCAACTATTTTTAACGAAGGCTTCAAACAAACGAAAATAGTAAGCAACGAGAGTGAGCAATTCTTTCTTGATTCTGTTTTTGCAAAGCTTAATCTAATGCGACTGTATTTTCTTTTTCATTGTATTTTTAAAGGAACGGAGGAATCTCGTATCTAGTTTTTATGATTCCACCAAGAATTGGCAACGGGTGTTCGACGCCCGGATCAAGTTAAAACAATTCCTACGGAAATTTATTGACCATTGTATAGAAAACGAAGACTATACGATCAAGGAGCAACGTTTCTTCGAGAAACTATTCGATGTCACGCTTTCTCGTTGTAGAGAAAAATCAGTCTTCTATATAGGTAATGTATAATAATATATACTATCTTTATTTCAGTCTATTGGTCCACCCAGAAATGGATTTAGTTTACGTTTTTCTCCTACACTCTCGTCCCTTTATATCTACAGTGTGGGGCAATTAAAACAGGCCACCTGAATAACTTGGCTCCTATTGGTGACAGAAAAAAAATGCATACGACCAAAATTATTTGGTGTTACTACTTTTTTGATAGGTGGAGGCCTCAAGGAGATATGAAGGTTGTCCCTGATTTTTTAAATGGAATGGTATGTGTTTTTACTTACATCCTGATAGAGTATTTCAAGACGAATTCAATGACCTATTGGGAAAGCCATTCGTGGTTAAGCCAATTGTGATGGAAAATAGTTCACTTTGAAGAAATAATCAAGCACCATTGATTTATTAATTTAACACTAATAACCCACTAATACAAGTGTTCAAAATGGTGACCTTGAACACTGATGCATATCCTGAAATGTTGCTTGACGGATAATATTGCATGCTGAATTTCAGTTCTCTTATACGTTTTTTCATATCGTCTTTGGTTGATGGTATTTAATTCTACACTTGCTGCTTTAATTTTCCCCACAGAAAGAAGTCCAGAATGAAACGTTGCTCTTTGATCGTATAATCTTCGTTTTCTTTACAATAATCCATGACTTTACATAAGAATTGTTTCATACTTTGATCTGGGCGTCGAACATTCGTTGCCAATTCTTGGTAGAATCATAAAAACTGGATACGAGATTCCTCCGTCCCTTAGAAAGTACAATGAAAAAGAAAATACCTTCGCATTAGATTAGATTGTGCAAAAACAGAATCGAGAAACAATTGCACACTTTCGTTATTTACTAATTTCGTTTGTTTGAAGTCTTCGTTAAAAATAGTTGCAAAACTTTCCCTTAAGTGTAGCACGAAGGTTTGCAGAGTTGTTCCTGGTACCAGACCTCTTCGAGCACACAGATTATTCTTCTCCATACGTAAATCGTTCATCAAATGAACTAAATCAGTATCCGCGAGTCCATGCACCGATTTATTAAATCCAAGAAACATTCATTGTCATTGTATTCGTCTTGAAATTATCAGAATGTAAGTAAAAAACGTACCATTCCATTTAAAAAACCAGGGATGACCTTCATATCTCCTTGACGCCTCCACCTATCACAAACTAGTAACACCAGATGATCAGTCCTCCATTTTTATTTCTTTTCTAGATAACAATTATTCGTTCAATCAAGTATCTTTACATGGAAACGAGTGGTTACTATCAACCTTTGAAATATCGACGTTCGCTTTCGTCGTCGCATTATCCACAGATTGTGTATTAGCTGTCACTATCACAGCGTTAATATCGACATTGTTAATCGCAACGATAAAACGTATTGGCGAGAAAAATATAAATAATCACGTATTGCTGGATAAAATGTTCTTAACGTGAATCTAAATGTTCTTAATTAATAAATTTAATAAATTAATATACAATAATAATAAGTATAAGTCCTTCATTTTTGTTATGTCCCTCTTATCTTTTCCTCGAGTTCAAGCATTTGTCGAGGGCACTGAATAAGTTAGCTGTGGTATTTAAATCGTGTCGAGTATACTCGTCGTAATAAGAAATATTGCCACTCGTCAATCATACTTAAGGTGGCCATATCTTTGGAAACGAAATCGATGACAAGAAAAAGGTAGGAATTATAATACACAAATAGCAAAAAACTAACAAAATTCTTGTATTAAATTATTTCATATATTATTTATTTAAAGGAACGAAAAAGCAATTGAACGAAAATAAAGTCTTTATGATTTAAAAAAATCATCTCGAAATTTCAAATGAATCATGAATACATAGAAAGAATTCAAAATGGAGACCACTTCGTAGAAATATCCGATTAATTATTTATTATTAAATAATTATTATTATAATATATATCAATTATTATACATACATATACTCAAACATATGACTAAAGATTAAATACAGAACATATGTACGTACGCTGGTACGGTGTTCCTTAAAACAATTTCGAGAACAGAACTGTTCAAACACAGAACGAACATTCACTGCACGTACACTCACCACAACATAAAATATCGCCATTAACAACAAGTAAACTCGTCAATCATAATTGATTGTTTAATATGTCTACTAGTATTAGTTAACGTAAATACATATGCATACGTACCTCGTCGATCAGCTTTCTACCTGCATTAATGCAACTGCAATTGCCTTCCGACGAATCTGCCTTCTAGTTTCCTCTTCCAAGTCACATTCGACGACATTAACGTTCACACGACTGAAAATTGTTCATAATTTCCAAAATGCATTTGCAAATCTGACTTCGTAGTCGACTTACTGAAACACCGGGAATGAAAATACAAACGGAGACTGGAATCGATTAACTGAACGTTCGCGATGGATTTCGAATTACACCTCTGCGTTTTTATTAGCAACTTGTTTGATCTTTTTAATTAATCGCACTGTAACAAGTTAACGGATCGTGTTTTGTTGACCGTGGGACGCGCGACTAGTGCGAAACTGCGAAGTGGCGGGCAGGAGTTGTGGTCACGTGACGCCGTGCGAGCGGACGGTGGCGCTACGTGCCGGCAGGAGTGCAACTCAGTTAATGGCGGGCAGTCGCCGAAGTGTCACGTGTTACAGTGAAGTTTATTAGTTTTTGAAAGAATTTACGAAGTGCAGATGTTTGTGATGTGTTCGTTCATTGAAATGCGATTCTACGTGTATCGAAGGTAAGTTTCTCATTCAATAGAATGCTTTCTATAATTTAATTTGCGAGATACGATCGACGAGAAAACTGTTTATACGCATGGCTCGAACGATTCTACACAGACTTCGCACGCACACATAGGAAATACGTAGGTCCGACGCATTTAAGGATGTATAGGTTATACAGTTTATTTTTTATAGTTTATAGTTTAATATCAAAAGTTTATGTATTTAGAAAAACGTATTTCGTATAATTAAAAAGAAATCAGACGTCGGAAGAACAATTATAATTATAAATAGCTACGTGAAAAAAAGTATAGAGGGAAATATTTAATTAATTATTGACGTATATACAAAAATTGTAGCTACTGACGTGCTCTACATGAAAGGTTTTATGTATTTTTNTCAAAATATCGAAAAATATCGATCTGTATTCCAAAAAGCGTTAAAAATTCCAGACTTTTTAGGCTCGTATTTGCTCAAGTCAGTTGTTTCTTCCAACTTGGTGCATGCACACCAAATACTAGAAAGTTTTCTTTGGGTCACTGCTGATTACTATAAGAGTACATGCAAATTTTAAGTGACTATAATTTTTCAAAAAACCCATGAATTGATTTAAAATTTTGCAGATACCTTTTTAATAGTAATAGGAATCTATAATCACAAATTCAACATGCTAGCATTGTTTAAGTGTATAGCCTATACATCCTTAAAGCATTAGAGGCAGAGTAGAGAGAACGTATAACATTTCTTATTTATGTGTGTGAAACGAGTCTGGAATACAGTCTGCCCATTGGTAATAGCAATTACATTTATACTTTAGGAAAATTAACTAAGTTACGTATGGAATACTAGATAGAGTCTGAACCCATTTCGCATTTATATGTACAAAACATGTTCAGGTTTTTTAAATTCAATGCATTTTGTTCTCTTGACAATTCACTTAGTATAAAACTATAATCTCCATGATAGTACATAAGATATAATACAAAATGAATTAACGGAATACAATATCTTTAATGCTTTCCATGCGTCGTTGCTACTTGAGTCCACGTGAATGTATCACATTTCCTATGCATTGCCAAATCTAATGAGTATTCCGTGCATTGTACACCCTCGCATACTAGTGACCCTAGTGACCCTCAGGGAAGGACTGGACATCTACATAAGAAACCCAAACCGGAAGTTTCATATTCAAAACGAGAAATATCAAAATTAATAATCATACGTCGATGCAATAAGTATTAATTAACATCCCAGATGTTCTTTTAGGAATAAAATATCGATAATAATAAAACAATAGTACATTATATTTTTATATAAATGTTTATTCTGCAAGTTTTATATACTGATTAAATCCTGACGTTAATCAGTAGTGTAAGAAAACCCAAAGGCATAGGATCATTAACTGCGTTTCCGACTACTTATCTTTATTGAAAACGTGGAGTGATAAGTCCCAAATGCCAGGCACCTAAGGCCCAAGCGTTACTAGATTGAGCGATTTTTTTCTCTTCTCTTCGCGTGCTGACCTCCACTACTGTATTTTGTCCTCGCTTACGTTACCCATGGACGTGTGCCTGATGCGCCTACCAGCTTGCAAAATTAAAGAGAAAAATCGGTCAATCTGATAACGTTGGGCCCAACCCTTTGTTAAGACAACGATGGGACGCTTGACTTTCCCTGAGAAAAAGCTCCTCGGCTACTCTTCAATCACGTGCACAGAACGTGAAGGTGCTAAAACGTAGACCCTCCCCCTCAGGCTTGAGGCCAACCGTTTTCTTGGAAACGGACCCAAAGGGCACTTTTCTGCGAATCGTCATGGCGCATAGCTTTTCGAGTTCTGTTGAGAGCGCAATAGCTTTGGTGCTAGTTTTATCTTTAGGAATATTAACCCTTTCGTTTATAATAGTGCATTTGCACTTTCCCATTTCCGGTTCTTGGAAACGGACCCAAAGAGCACTTCTTTGCGAATCGTCATGGCGCATAGCTTTTCGAGTTCTGTTGAGAGCGCAATAGCTTTGGTGCTAGCTTTATCTTTAGGAATATTAACCCTTTCGTTTATAATAGTGCATTTGCACTTTCCCATTTCCGGTTCTTGGAAACGGACCCAAAGAGCACTTCTTTGCGAATCGTCATGGCGCATAGCTTTTCGAGTTCTGTTGAGAGCGCAATAGCTTTGGTGCTAGCTTTATCTTTAGGAATATTAACCCTTTCGTTTATAATAGTGCATTTGCACTTTCCCATTTCCGGTTCTTGGAAACGGACCCAAAGAGCACTTCTTTGCGAATCGTCATGGCGCATAGCTTTTCGAGTTCTGTTGAGAGCGCAATAGCTTTGGTGCTAGCTTTATCTTTAGGAATATTAACCCTTTCGTTTATAATAGTGTATTTGCGCTTTCCCATTTCCGGTTTAGGCGCACTTTCTGTTAGTTTCAGAAATCAGCATTAGGTGTCCGAGTCCCTCCGAGAAGAGACATTATCTCACGTGTATCACGCGAGTTCAATCGTTCCGACATTAGAATTAAATCGTCGATAACCCGAACGGTAGAATTCGTTCGACGAGCATGAAAAATGTGAGTTTCTGAGTCAGTTGGCAACTTTGCAGATTACGCGGTGTAGTAGTAGTAGTAGTAGTAGTCGCGAGGAGAAGCCTCATCAAACTTTCGTTCGCTCTTAATTTAAGTTATCCTATAGCTGCTGCAGGAGAAACATAATTTTCCGGAGAAAGTTGCGAAAATTAGACCATAGACCGGGGTTATCGGGTAGGTAGGCAGGCGAGCGGACGACGACGATGACGAGGACGAGGACGAGGGGGAAGGGTGAAGACCGCGCGGTGGCTGATAACTCCGAGGGGGCGAGCTGAAGCCGTTCGCCGCGAACGGCAGCTCGGTAAAGTAACCTCGGTTCAGTTCGCTTTCGTTCGTCCTTGCGGAAAGCGGTGTATCGACCTTGCGCGTGTCGCGCTACGTCGACCGCGGCTACGTCGTTTGTCATTAGCTTACCCGACGCTTCCTACTCACCTGCCTGAACGTGAATCCGTTCAACCAGTAGTTAACGTCATCGTTCTGTATATCGCAGGTCGATGATCGTCGACGGAGTACACGTGCACGTGGTCGTTCGAACGAGGACCGAGTGAATCAAAACGTGACCAGTGATTGGTGACCAGAGAGTGACCATGCTACGACGTTGGATCCTCTGCAGTCTTCTTCTGCTCGTCGGATTTGTTCAAGGTCAGTTCACAGAGCTGTTCTCTTCTAATAAATGTTTTTCTTTCGTCTATACTATAGCGTTCTGGTAGGTCATGGTTTAGTGTTAATAACTCAACAACCAGGTCTTAGACAACATTTTGATAAGGGAATATATTGTTAAAATCATCTCAGGAACCTCCCATTAAAAAATGTACCACTAGTTCTGGGATATCCTGTATATAAGGAAGCGCACGTGTTCGTGATCTGGTGCATCTATTGTATTGGCTCGAGCGCACGTGCTCGGGCGAAGCGTGTACGTAAATACGTACTTACCAGTCACTTACACTATCTAGCGATTGAGCTTCGATCCGATTACGAACCCTATAAGCTTCTTTTACATGTATTACGCAAGGACTATGGACAAATTGTCGTAGAATCGTAAAATGACAAACATGGGTTCTCTTTTTAGAGTTTATTTTCGAGTTGTCCTAGTACGAAGTCTCATGCACAGAGTTAGGGTCAAGATCTAACTCTTGCCCTGGTTTTAGGAGGGCTTTCTTTTATACTAGAGGTTTTTGGGGGTATCAGTGGTAGGGTACTTTCTAGGAAAAGGGAGATTTCCCGGATGGGAAAAACGAGGGCAGAGGCCACGTGTGGGTCAGGTTGTTTTTAGGGTCTCAAGAAGGGTTGTAAATGTTGCAGTTTTGTGGTTTTTGGGGGTAGTAGTCCAGTGGTTGGGTGGTTTCTAGGAAAAGGGACATTTTTCGGATGGGAAAAACGAGAGCGAAGGTCACGTCTGGGTCAAACTGGTTTTAGGATCTCAAAGAAGTTAAAAATATTGCAGTTTTGTGATTTTTGGGGGTAATAGTCCAGTGGTTGGGTGGTTTCTAGGAAAAGGGACATTTTCCAGATGGGAAAAACGAGAGCGAAGGTCACGTGTGGGTCAAACTGGTTTTAGAAATCTCATAGAAGTTAAAAATATGGCAGTTTTGTGGTTTTTGGGTCTGAACGGGTCATAAAGTGGTCATAAGCTTTGGGACAAAGCGTCGCATTTCAGGAGTTGGAAAAATAGGGGTTTTCTTTGAATGAGGGAAATAAAGAAAAGGCATTTTCTAGGAAAAGGAAGATTTCTTGAATGGGAAAAGCGAGAGCAGAGGTCACGTGTAGGTCAAGTTGTGTTTAGCGTCTCTAGGAAGTTAAAAATATTGCAATTTTGTGGTTTTTGGGTCCGAATGGGTCGTAAGCTTTGGGACAGACAGTCGCATTTCAGGAGTTGGAAAAGTTATAGGGGTCCTTTCTCTGAATTAGAGAAACAAAGCAAAAGCATTAAAGATAACAACTTCTAGCAGTTACTCGACAATATGTATACCTGTTGCCATGTGCGCAGTGGTATCTCGACTCACGTTTCGCTTTGGTATTTGAAAAGCCACTAATTATGATTCACTGTTAAGTAATCTTTCGATCTATCGTCATTTTTGTTCGACTGAAATTGAAAAACGGATTTCAGTGTACTTTGTCTTTCACGGACGCGTTTTATACAGTCCCTTTGTCTATCTTCAGCTCTATCTCGATCTCTCGGAGTCCATTAAGTGGTTTTACCAGCGAATCCATTAGGACTTTGAGAACGACTCTCTCGCACGCTCTCGATGTTTCGCAGAGATCTTTGCCAACATCTTTCCCTGTTGTCACGCCTCGCTTCAACCATCCTTCGTCAACCGCTAATTACCGCGTTCCTATTATCGTCGTCGCAATTCGTAATGGCTTTGGAAAAACGATTGGTTCAATCAATCTTCTCTTAACGCTCGGTACTTGGTCCGTAATATCTTAAGTGGTTAAGAATTTGTGCGACAGATAGAAAAAGCGAGATCAGGTTGAAAAGAGGTGCTCTCATGGTAGAACCCAATTGAAAGTAGAAGGGGCGAAGGGGAAACAGCCAAGTGGACTTATAGTTCCAATTGTTGCCGTCTATTCTATGCGCCCCAGTCGGAATTCAACAAACTTTACCGATATCAGTTACTCAGGGATTTGTTGTCCTATCCCTGCAGTGACATAATCTTTGTACTACCTCCGCGGACATCTTTAATACGCTTATCGTTGGTCCAACAATTTTTGAATTCCACTTCGCATGATATTTATTTCTGCCGATCTCCGAGGTTGCTAATTTTATTACAAACGTTTCGACGCGCCCTCGGCGAATGTAATGGCTGTTAATCCGTGTCAAATGCGATTAAACGGTTGACGTTTCCACGGATTCCGAATCCCGGGTGGGCGTCGATTTATTTTGAAAACGCGAAAATCACCGGCAGAGCCGGCCCATCGAACGTTTTTAATCGGGCACATTTTAAACGCTGGTGTCGTCGGTTTTGACAACTGGGACAGTCCACGATCCCAGCTTCCCATGCGGAAAACAATACAATTCGTTCGTTTTATTATAACGAGATCCACCGCCCTCTGGCAATTACAATAGCGTTCGTTATTTTCGTACTGTTATTATTTGCGCGCGGCTGACCGACGTTTTTTTTTTTCTTTTTTTTTTTTTCAAAATAGGAACATGAATTTTTCTCGTCGCTAGTGTGTCCGGGTGGACAAGCGACTGGTAAATCCGGTGACTGGTTAATATTGTACGGATCTTGGAGCGACGACGGTAACTTTTGAAAAGCTGCCGAATTTCCGGAGCTGCGAAAGTTTCGCTCCGCGTTTTTGGTAATGCCCCTACGTTGTCCCGAACTTTTGCACGGCCGGCCATCGAGCTATTCCCACCGTCCATCCATATTGTTTCGGCTCTCACGGTGTTTTCCTATTTATGGAAACTAGGTCTTGTCCCTGTCAGTCTCCGCTGCAGCTTTCGCCACAATGAATAAACCAACAGCCACGTGGTTAAGGTATTCGGAAACAGAGCCTTTGTCCTTGATCGTTCGTATCATTAACGGGTTATTTGTAATAAAAATATTTTCCCGGCTCTCGTTGCTTCGTATACGATTTGAAACGATCGTAAATAGGATAACAGGATGTTCCCTGTGTTTATAAGTAAATTTCTGGGTATGGCTACGCGTACTGGTGGCTGAACTATGGATTTCCATCGAAAGCGCACCCTGCGTGTTCTCGTCTCTGTGTAGGTGTATTCGTTGTACGATAAACAGCGGAACGTACACGTCGTTATAACAATAGAGATATCTATTTGGCGATGCGCGAGCAAATATTGTTGCGACAAATATCCTCTACTCGGCCCAGAACCTCGGGACAGCCTTCTGCCTATGTTTTTCGGTGTTACGTATCTATAACGTTGTTTTTGAAAATTCTCTACTATTTTTTTAGCATCGATTTTCACTAGCTTTTATGTTCTGTCAATAACCCTTTCCTTGCACAAACCAACAACTCAAGAAGAGTTGTCTCATACTTGATGAATTTGTTATAGTAGAGGCTTTTGCTTCTTGGCCTAATGGATGAGATAAACTTGTCTAGCTTTTTTTCTATCACTCGGTTTCATATTTTGTCAATAACCCTTTCCTTGGACAAACCAACAACTCAAGAAGAGTTGTCTCATACTTGATGAATTTATTATAGTAGAGGCTTTTGCTTCTTGGCCTAATGGATGAGATGAACTTGACTAGCTTTTTTTCTATCACTCGGTTTTACATTTTGTCAATAACCCTTTCCTTGGACAAACCAACAACTCAAGAAGAGTTGTCTCATACTTGATGAATTTGTTATAGTAGAGGCTTTTGTTTGTTGACCTAATGGATGAGATGAAGTTATCTAGGTTTTTGTTTTTATTACTAAGATGGACATAGCTTTTTGGCTTTGTGGCTACGATGAACGTATCCTGCTTTTTAGCCTTGGACTTAAGGATAACGTGTCCAGCTTATAGGTCTCATAGCTAAGGTACATGTATTCAGTTTTGGGAGTATCAGCTTCGCAACTTTGTGGCTGAAATAAACACTTCCAATCCCATTTATTGACCTCATAGTTGAGGTGAGCGTTTCCAGCTTCTCAATCTCATGGCTAATTCTAAGATGAACGTATCCAGCTTCTCTGTCTAACAGACGGGATGGACATATTTTCTTACAGCTTGCTCTTTCTTAAAATGATTTCACAAATTGACCTATACAGGGCGAGGCACTAACTATTGCCATCTAGAATAACTGAGAAAGTATGATAATAGTAGAAAAGTCTTTGAAACAAACATGGAACATTGCATGGAACAACAGAAGCTATAGTTTTATGTTAATCTTTTGTTGCTAGGTGGAGTGGCTTCAGAGATATGAAGGTCACCTTTGTTTTTTAAATAGAATGGGGTATTTTTTATATATGAAACGCTGCAATTAGACATTCATTATAAAAAATTACTGCCCTATGTATATCAAAAAGCTGGTAGTTCAGAAGATAGAGTACATTTATTAAAATTTCTTCCTATTCAGTTGCTACTTTAATCGGACATTTGTCTCCCGTTGAAAGTGGCACAATACATAAAAGGTAATCTCTGTTTAAAGTGTTGGGACAGTTTTATATTCGTGGTCGCGGGTCAATTTGACAGAACGGTGATCGATTCTTAGCGTGCACGCTATTATTTTATCCGGTTGGACTCTCGTCAGAGTGCGGGTGCGCGGTTGCGCGACGATACCGAAGAATAATGTCACTGGGTTACTTGATCGCGTTGCGGTCCCGCGTATCTGTTCGAAAGCGAAATGTTTGCGGTTATACTTTTTCCATGCCGTAGTAGTAGCCGCGTTACGATTCTAGATAAAATTGTTCCGGTCTGGACTAGTCGAAAACTATTCGTACTCGTAGAGCGGGCGACCGAACCGCAACCCTAAACCGAGCTAGAGTTCGTCGCTGATAAATAGAGGGCGATTTTAGCGCGTAAACGACGTGGAAACGAAGCTCCTGGGTCGTCCAAGCGAATATTAATAATGTAATTCAGAAAATATGTAAACGTCTGTAGCGGTCGGGGTAGAAGAACGAAACGGAAGAGACGAAGGGGGTTGAAACCGAGACGACGCGGTGAACCTCGGTTAATTACGTATGCGAGCTACGCGGGTGTCGTACGTAACGCGGGACTAGCTAGCTAGGTGCGATAACCCTGCAGGTCGCACGAGAAAAGATTCTAATTGAATTCGTGCTTTGTGTGTTTGCACCACTGCGACGGAGACTGAAAGTCGTCGGGTTTTACTCCGAATACGAATTTATGAACGAGCACGTGGCTGTACGCCATTTTATAAATATCGTCCACGAGACGATCGTCCATAAAGAACGTGGAATCGCTTACGTGCTTATCGCCGTCCCCCTCGAAACGCAGCCTTTTCCTGAAACACGTTGATAGATGCAAAGTCTCCTGTGTGTGTGTGTGTGAAATTTGCATTTTCTAGGCGGAACGCTGCGCTGGGAACGTGGAATTTTGAACAGGGTCGACCCCGTTCGTCGGGAGCCGCTTCAATTAGCAATCGGATCTGCTCATTGAAATCGTTGATTAATCAGCGAGAAGTTTCGGGAAAATCGGCGCAGTGGTTGGTAACTCAGAAAACGAGCTTCGTCGATCGTTGGATCTCGCTCGCGTCCAATGATGATCTCGTTTTCGTTCGACCGGGCATCGATCGGGCCTTTAACACTCACGGTAGAAACGAGTATCAAGTTCACTAGCGTTCCGCTGAAGCTAGAGACTTTTGACTAACCCAATGGCCACGCGCGTCCCCGCAAATTGCTCTCCCTAATCATTTACGGGTGGATCGCTGCTATCGTAACGTGCAAACATGCCCAAAGGTCGTTTATACGTTTTCGACGACGACGACGACGACTTCGAAAGAGGTTCGGTGATCATACAGTTTGGGACAATGAATGTCCATCCTGATTGTCTTCATTATTCTTAGAGGGACAAGACCATATTAGGAAAGGGTGTAGTTGGATGAGGGCTCAAAAGTGTTCAGTTAGCTTCAGGACAGTTTTGAGCCACTTTTTTATTATTAATAGATTTATTTTAGATAGTTTAACAACAATAGAGTCATTAGCTATCATCGCTGAAGGTGCACATGTCCATTAGATGTATAGTTATATCAAATGGTTGCATAACAAGTGCTAAGAACAAGTTAAGTTAGGTTAGGATAGGCAATGAATAATAAGAATTAGTTATTTTTAAATAATAAATTTAATTATAAACAGTTTAGAAGATTTCTCTTAAAGAACTCAAGATCACTTTTGGGATTCTTCATTGAAGTTACTTTTTATTTCATTTTACAAATAGATAAGTTGATACAATTAAGTAAAATGTATTGAGTACTTAAGGCAGGTCTACAATATTAATATTCCCCGTGGGGAGGGAGGGAATATTTAATTATTAAACAATCGTGAGTTAGTTTTTAGTGTGCTGCCCTAATTCGAATGGGAGCCACCTGGTTCTTTTTGGGTAATAGGATTTCTATCTTCTCTTGAAGCTAATGTCCCCAAAAACCCAATGTCCCTAAAAATGGGAAATAATTTGAGGCCTAGATCTCACTTAGTCCAGTTTCGTTTGAGGGTTTGTCCATAATTTGTTCTAAAATATTGTGCATCATATTCATAATATCGTCTATCATCGAAACATTTGATATAACATTCTACTTATTTTCGTTTACGCCATCGGTGCAAATTAGTCATACGTTTAATTACCCGTTATTACACCTGGCAGTTGCATCGATTAATATTTTCTGCGACCGCTTTAACGAATGAGTTCGTCGAACGCTGTAATTAAGTTGAATGTTTATCGATTGGTCCCGTGGTACTATATATATACCCATTTCTTCATTATCATTTATATACAGGATGTTCCAGAACAAGTGTTAGACCTTAAGAGAGTTGAACCTGTAGATGTCTCTGAACAACAGCAAACATATTTTTATCAAAGAAGACTTGACCCATTTTCTTTATTTATCCTAATAAATAAAATAAAACAAATTTTTCAAATGGGACAGGAGTCATATTTTTGGCCAATCATTCAATGAGGAATATAAACTTGTAATAAGCAGTATTTGATTGAAGACCTCATAGGTACTTTGTAGGAATTTGTTTAACACTAGATCTAGGCTAGGTTAGGTTAGGTTAGGTTTAAAAACCGACAGATTTATAACGAATACATGAAAGGCAGATATAAAAAAGTCGATAGTTCTTAACTTTGATTGAGTCCTGTTGCTGCCTCGGAACGAACCCGGCCAATTCATTCTCCCCCACACTAGTCTCCCTCCCCACTCTTCGTAAATGTAGTTACGCGCCTATATGTGACACAGTGTCCCCACTTAAGCTAGGCCGTGAAGGCCGTGGCTCTCTAGGGACACCTTTGGCCATGCCTGGAATACGGGTTAGGCGACGCAATCCAGGCGGCGCTGATTACAGGATCTTTGAGTATCGACCGTTAGATGGATCAACGTCGCCGACTGCTATCTCGGACGTTGATCACGATCGGATCGCGATTCGTAGCAACATTTACAGGGTGAGGGGGGATACGTAAGACGGGGAAGAGGGAAGAACCGGGCGGTAGAAAAATTGCTGGGAACTTAAACTCGTTACTCACGTAGCGCTTCTCTCCTGCCGCGGACATTAGTCTAGGCTTAAACGTAATTAGAAATCGTTGGAAATCGCGTTATCTCTTAAATAGCGAAAGCGGGACGAGCGAACCGTAGAAAGAGAGAAACGAAGTGGGGTGGATTCCGTAGAATGAAGATGCTCTTCGGGTGGGTGGAGCGAAATAGGAAAAAAACGTGCCAGCGCCGGTGGGAAAATGTTAACGATTAATGGCCGACGCTGTTTTCCCGTAGTTATTTACTTTTACGCTGCAGCTGGAAATCCTGTGGATCGCTCACGATTCTTCTCCTCTCAGTTAACTGTTTATACGAAGAAAAATTGATGACGGTTCACCGGATTCTTCGTGGTTATCTCCGCCGTCTGATTTATTCCTTCGGAAATCGTCGATCGTCAGAGATAAAACGCACCCTCCTAGAGTCTCTATTCTTCGTCCCAAGAATTTTCGTTTTGGGAACGTATCGCGAATTTACTATTTAGAACAGATAATTTTCCGCTCCACTTGGCGCGCTCGAGTTCATAAACTAATAAAAACTTTTTGCCGCTCTCGAGCGAGGGATGGAAAGGATAGAAAAAAGAAGCGTAGAGCAGGACGCGGGATAAAGTGCTCTCGGGCAATGGAGGCCGATCGTAGCATCGAATATTAAAAATTACATATAATCGAGTCGCGGCGATAAAACGTAAAGTCCGTGAAAATTGTTTCATCCTCAGAGGTCGTTTTTCTTTTTTTATTTCGCCTTATCGATGATGTCCGTATTCTTATTACGACGCTCGAACGGAGCGAGGCGATTGGTGGAAAACGGGCGGTGGGAGTTAGGGTGGGGGTTAGCGAAGAACGGAATCGTGGAATATGAAACTCGGGAAACAGGGCCGATTATAAAGCAAGTTATTGCCTGGTCTTTAGCGCGGCGAGGCATCCGGCCGTCAGCAATTTCTGGAGGAAATGGCGAGACCGATTTAATAGCTCCGGCGGCGATTCGTTCGCGTCACCTCGTAGAATCGATACGGTTGTTTACCGAGGGCAAGGAAAAGGGATGGGACCAGTCCAGGGATCGATTTCTGTTGGACATTCTAAATCATCTGATGGGAGCGTAAAAGTGAAATCCGTTAGGCCAGTGTTCCCCTAAATATAGCACGCGTACCTCCTGGCAGACGGGGAGAGTTTGGTGGGGATGGAACTGCACCATTTTATTTATATTTTATTACAAATTTTACTTTTCGTTTATAATTATTCTGTTTATGTTTCAAAAAAGAAAAAATAAGTGTATTTTGATTTCTTTTTTTGTTTTTAGGGATACTCAGTGTTAGGAGAATGGTAGATGTCGAAAGTTTAGGAAACACTACGTTAGGCGATCATCACTCCATCTGACTAGGGACATTTTCCTTAAGAGGACATCCATTGAGGGAACGCAGATAGCCTCCATAGGACATTCTTTAACAATAAGTTCTAGTTTTCTTACTAATGTAGGTGTAGTAATTTCTACTATAAGTATGGCGATTACAATTCTGTGTTCGACTATTTCGGAGCTAGCAGTAAGCATCTGGCCATCGCAGAGGGGAATTGTCAATTAATTCAATTAGTAATAGTCTCGTTCTGTCCTGAGTTTAACATTAAATTGAGAGTTGTATTTTTATGGTATTATATGTATTCTTTTATCTATCTCTATAACTCAAGATGTCGCAGTAGGCATTTTATTGATATGCATATACCGCTAGAAGGATTGTTTGTAAAGGTTATACTATAAAAATAAGAAATATAAATAAACGAACTGTAGATAAAAAACTGTGTAAAATTTTCTGAACAAGTGTGATACAAAATGTATGGTAGATTAAAAGCAGTGAGCTCAGACAAGGAAGAGTAGTTATATGGGTTCACCTTCCACCTAACCTATCTATAGGTTTATCTCCCTCTCTCATCTCCACTAGAGATCCAAAAAATGTACTTCTCTCCTAAGTTGGAATTCCAGGACTTCATTAGTCAGTATAGCACCTACTTGAGTAATCAGCTTAACTGTACAATTTTGTCCTAATAACTAATATAACCTAAAAACTAATCGCTATGAATAATCGAGGTCCAATGGCGGAATAGGAATACTACGGATAGAATTAGTGCCAGAAGTCAAGATGAGTGAGAACATTTTTGGCTAAATAGACTTAGGGTGTTTGTCGTGATAGTGATGCATTAGCTCGTCATTCAACAGGATAGAACTTATAAACAGCGAGTAGCCCATTAGTCGAATCCGGGTTGCAGCTACCGTAATTCGACCTATTTTTCTCTGTATCCAGCGGGATAATCCCGTGGAATTTAATTAAAGTTGCAAAAAAAAGGGGTGACGGGAAAATCCGAGCGCATCCCGTAGCACTGGAATAACTGCGAATTTCTGTTACGCGCGATACGACACGGAAACTTTCCTCTCGCGTAATTAGAATTACCGGCGCGTTGACACGCAGTTATTACACGTTCCTGTTAATCATCGTCAGTTATTTGAATCATTCACATGTTCGATTGGGATTAGGGAGCCCCACCGGCCTGCGGCTGTTTTTTCTTAGCCTTGCTGATTCGAGCGGCATGGCTGAGAGTAAACAGTCTGGCTTACGCGAGCGTGGCAGCAGTGGAGTGAAAAGAACTATAATAGCACATTGTACACCAACGGCCGAAAATGGGCTTTTCCAAGCGAGGTTCATGTTTGAGTGGCAGTCGAGGGCGCCCGAGACGAACGCCAGCTGCTCAAATCATCATCCCAGTCTGAAAAAGCCTATTCGACCCGTATTTTTTATAAAAAGGGCATAAAGCAGACCATTTTTCGTCGTCTACAAAATGGATCCAGGATATAGTTTCTAGAGTCGTCCACTTAAGTCAGCCATGGACAAAAGTGTCTTTTTAAGGTAGGGATACTTGACACCATGATGTAAAAACATAAGGTATGTTCTTGCGCATCCATTTGAACATCCATCTGTAACCGGACACTTCCACTCGTTGGCCATTTTGGATTTCTAACCAATCACGGTTCATATTAAAACAGAGCGAATTTTAAAATCGTAAACATGTGAAAAATTAGGTTCTCGGAGAGTAATATATATGCGTGTTTGAAATAAACAATAGATCATCGTACTTCCAATATGGCCGATGAGTGGAAGGCGCAAACAGCGACACATTTGAACACGCCGGAAGAACACACCTTATGTTTTTACATCATGCTTGACGTTATGTAACGTACATTTATGAATAGTGGGGAGAGCGACTAGTGTGAAAATGAATTGTCCATGTCTGACTTAAGTGTATGACAAGCATGTGTGTGTGTGGCAATAATGGCATTTTATGGCCATAAAATTTAGGCCCTAGGACCTAAAAGCTCTATTTTCGGTCCACTTTATAGGTCTCTTTTAGGCATGTGTTATAAAAACGATAAGATTCGACACTTGGCGACACCTAGCGAGGAAAACAATTCTGGGTGAATGATTTTGTGCAGCCGGGAAAAAATCCATGGCCGTTTCATTCATTATCTAACGCGGAGCACGAATTCCGACTGGTCTAATTTTTAACAAGTTTGCATTCACGATCTAGTATGAAAATCGAATTAATCGCCTGTCGAAGCGCGCTCATTATCACCGGTCATTGTCACGAATCTCTCCCGTTCGAGTGGAATTTCGCTCGCTCTTTAATTAAAAATAAAAATCGGTCCTCTTCTTTTCGATGGAACGAGGAGTCGATCAAACTCGACGTTGAAAGCGTTGAACGTGACTTCGGCAATAATCGAGCCTACTTGAAACGCGGCCGAAACATTATTTAGCGGCTCTGTTGTTCCCGTTTCGAATATTCCAACCTGTTTTCGTTCAACGATCGACGTACTGTCGTGCAAAATTACTTACCAATCGAACGAGTGGTTTCCGCTCGTCCACGTTTCCCCGAAATATGTGACAACAAGAGAAAAACAGAAAACAACGATTACCTATCAATTTTTATTTTTAATTCGGCTTGGCACAATCTCTTCTCTCATATACTCCCGCTGGAATAGGTAGAATCGGGAATATTTTTCCAAATGAACGTGTAACCAAAATCTTTTCGTTGTTCGGGACAGGGACAAATCATTGGATCGATACTCGTCGCGCCACGAATCGGGTTACGCATACTCCAATTACTGGGCAAGAATGGACAGTGGGTGTAAAGACGAATATCAGGTATCCGACGTTGAATCAACAACGACCAGCAATTACGTGAAAACGAATTGTACGGCTCGAAAAGTATCGCGTTTTCGTTGTTCAAGTTTCATTTAAAATAGGATTTCTCTTCTTTCCTGATCGATGATCAATTATCCAGGATCTGCACTATTCGTAGTGGGACTGATCCGCATATATTTATATTGCTGACATGTCTGAAGTCAGCAAAATCTAGTAATAATGAAATAATACTCTCTCTGTCTAAATATCAGAGTCCCATTTTAATTTATGAGAGTTATTTGAGACTAAGGATCAATGTTAGGGATTGAACATTGATAACCACTTTTCATGAATGTTTATTATAATGTATAAGTCATCAAAATTGCTGTTTGGTTTTGTTGGATTATTATTATTTAATAATAAGCAAAACTGAACTGTTGCGTTGCAAGACACTCTAGTCTAAGTATGTCCAACTTATTTCTTCCTACAATAGTCACAGTAACTCATTGGACCATAATGACTTAACGCATCCCCACCTAAGTCTGCCTAGACTAGAGTCTAGTCCAGGCATGTCCAACTCATTTCTCCCTACTCTAATAGCTTTCCCCACCTGGTGCCATAGTCACAGTAACTCATTGGACCATAATGATCTCACACTACTTAACGCATCCCCACCTAAACCTGCCTAGACTAGAGCCTAGTCCAGACATGTCCAACTCATTTCTCCCTACTCTAATAGCTTTCCCCACCTGGTGCCATAGTCACAGTACCTCATTGGACCATAATGATCTCACACTACTTAACGCATCCCCACCTAGGCTCCCGCTGAAGGTTGTATCGCGTGCGCGACACCTTTGGCCTTGCCTATTAGCCCATGACGAGTGATAAGAATCGTGGACTTATCCTAATTAGCTCTATATTCAGGCATTTCCTTCTGAACACTGCGCTGTACGTTAAGGTTTCTTACTAGTGTATTATCAGAGTTACTTGCCGGTAATCAACCGGACGTCCGGCCTGTCTCCAATTGCGCGATCAAAGCTCGAATAGTACGTAAGTCGACCACGGAATCGGAGTCTGAGAACCTAGTTGCTTCAAATTATGTATGCTATCTGGGCTATTATGAATGCATCGACACGATGGCGTAACCTACGTTTCTCGTTCCCTTTGCATATTTTAGAGGGCTCGTGCTCGTTAATAGAGTAATAATAATAATAATAATAATAATAATAATAATAATAATAATAATAATAATAATAGTAATAGGTGGATTCGCTATCGGAGCAGCGGCGAGTGGCGATCGTCTCGGTTTTTTTTCATAGCGTCGCTTATTTCGATTGGAACGTTCGAGGATTTCGAACGGCTCGTGGAATCCTGTACGCTGGTCGCGATATTCGTTTACTCGGGTTTAAATGGGAAACGTGGTACGTATGCGCCGCTGGTATCGAATAGAATATCGAATCCTGAAGGATGTACAAAGAAAATATGGGATTAAGGGGAACGTGAAATAAGATCCGGGGGCCACTTCTGTCGCACTATATCTCCGACATTATCGAGGAATACTTTATATCGTACTTCTGCCAATATCGATAAAACATTGACCCCTTTTCCATCGTGAAACTCTATCTCTGACAAACCATATAGAATTTATGTACCCATATTCTACACGCGCGTACGTACCTACCTACCGACGTACGTACGTACGTACTTGGTTTATGTACATATTTGCGATGGAATACTTTGTCGATGGAATATCTATTACCCCTCGCCCGAGAGTCACGTACCCATAATTGTCAAGTTCAGAAAAGCTTCACTCCTGTTCTCATAAGGTTGATTCATAATTATCCATCGTTCATGTAGCTAAGGTTTTTGTTAATGAAAATTGGCGTTTTATTTAGTTTTTTTATAAAAATATTCTTCTGTGTTCAGTTCTTAGGAATCCATATTGAAAATCATGTTCATATTCGTCATATTATGCTTTAGTATTGTGAGAAAGGATGGAAAGCAGGACAGACATTTCATGATCTCAACGAACTTTTTAATGGTGGAACAGTTGAAGAATGACAATATTGGGAATGGTTTGTCCGACCCAAATCACGTGATACCAGCTTGGTGAGCAAGGTCAGGTCCAACAATTCAGGAAAAGGGCGACCATCGAACTTCGACGATCAGACATTTCTGGCAGAAGAGGACAAAAGCATGAGAAGACAATTATTGAAGTCGAGAGTGAATGTGCTCCAAAAAATCATTTAAACATGTTTCTCTTAAATTTTTATAAGTCGTTCTTCATTAGAAGTATTAGTTAAAAAATGGCGGGTATTTAAGTGTCAACCCATTGCTTTATTAACGAGCGCAAATCTTTTGGAATATACAAATAGGTAGTAAAATATTGCTAAACCGTTTAACTAATATTCCAATCAACATAACTTTATAGTAACTATGAAGGTATCCCTAATACTTCCAACTGATAACGTGCGACTCAATATCCAGCTCCTCGTCCCTCCTCGAATACGATTCATTTACGACTGTCTCTCTGTACGAACTTCCATTACTCGAAACGTAATTGAGCTTGCATCGATATCGATGCAACTCATTACGCAACTTGTCAACAAATAGTTAGACACACATTAGTACAGTATACGCTGCTTCCATACAGAGTGTTTAGTAAATTGGGCAAAACTT